CCATCTTTCTAGGAAACTCGATTAAACTCGATTTGACCGGTATATAACATTACTTGATCGTACGGTGTAGTAACAGATAGAAAGGCAGGAAAAAATCGCCAGCCCCTTCGAAAACAACTCCGAATTCCTTTCCCTTCCCGAACTCAAATAATTCCTTGTGTTTTACTTTATCAGTTGGATCATCTGGTTGACCATGAGTGATCTTAATAAATTCATAATGGCGACAAAAAGGGCGCTGACCAAAGAACCAACGAATAGGATGGGACCAACAAATACCTCTCGCAGGAGCTGTCCCAATATGCTTATTTTTTCGCTGACCACACCGGCTGATAATCCCCTCTTTGAGGGGTTACTGTATTGGTGAATGATAATGAATAACTACTTTTAGTTCTTCGAACGCAAAAAACGTATGCTAAGGTCGTTCGCTTACTGTTGGAATTGTTTATTTGACCTCTAGCGCTAAGGGCACCCTCTGCGCAGGAGCAGAACGTCCTTTTGTCTTCTTGAGCAAGGAGGCTCAACTTTTAGGTTTACCTGCGACCTTCTGTCTAGTTTAGCGAAATCACACACGCAAAACCACTCTAAGACCTTTTAATACCATTACTCCAAACCATGACATCAACTGCCTCGCTATATATGCAAATGCTACGCTCTGAAAACACAGCGTATTGCGACACACCAAAGCCTATCGTTCCACTTTCTATACATTGCCTCTATTTCATTTACGCGTGTAAAAATTTACATGTGTACGCATGTATAGCATTTTAGAATCCGAAGATTTATTAACCTTATCTTTCACGTGTGAGGATATTGGTGTCGCCATTGTTACTAACATACGCATTTGCTTTTATAGAATTTTTCTCTTCGTCATTAGAATTTTGACTTTTTGGAACAGAAAATATAAGTATTATTGTCTTTATTTCTCCTCTATAACTTTATATCCGAGTTTCATAACATTTTTGTGACAGGCATTTTGCGATGGGTGACCACTTTAATTCTGTGGCCAATTATAGACCCCATCTTAGCCACTTTTGGACAAATATTTAATTTTCGCGATCCCCGCTTAGTCACTTTCTATTTTTATGAATTGACCATTTTTAGATTGAATGAAGAACACTTTACTTTTCATCTAACGTACAAACATTCTGGTACGTTTGCCAACCGTAAATATGAAGAACGAGTCGGTCTTACGCCAAAAAATGCGCGACCCCATTCTAGTAACTCTCTTGAAAATGCGACCCCGTTATTGTCAATCCACTCCTGAAAATGCAACCCCATCCAGCGGCACATCCCCATTAGCCTCTTATAAGCAAGTAACTCCCCCCCCCCCCGGGTTGCCATGCTACGTAGGCCAAGCACGCTGATTATCTTTCGACACTACGCAATTTATAACAACATCACTGACCTCACTATTTTCTGGAATATCTGACTGATCACTTAGCTGACCCTCTGGATCGCTCGCCATTGTTTCGCGACTGGCACGAAAGTGGCGGTAAGATTGGTAAGGAGGTTAACCGAGCAGCCTATTCCCTCAAGGTCCATGACTTCATAAATAATGTAGCCTGCGTAGCAGGCGCTTGAAAGTAGTGGGCGAAAGAGAGAACGGGCGCGCGCGAGGGAGACACGCGAAGGCGACAAGTTAACGTATCATTGGATAAAAAAGTTTAAGTCACATAATTAACTGAAATTACAAGCCATACGATTTGTCTGGACTGTTTGCGCAATATACGATCCCCGACGGTGCAACTATAGGAAGACACGCAGGCAAGCTAAGGAGACCTTTTAGGATTTGTCATGAAAAAGAAGCAGATCACCGCGACACAACGATTTTTTTCACAGACTACCGCGATATCAAATTTAAACTCAGCGCACACTGCTTGGACTCTGAAAACCGCAATACAGTACTTTGAAATAAAAATTGCCGCAACACCGCACCAAAAATAACACAATACCGCAAACCCTCACGCCCCCCTCAATCTGGTCACACCAAATCTCAATGTGCATTTTCAGGTCCACAAAAACATATAACAAAGGAGTCTGCCGGGTTTCATAACCATTCCACTCAATTAACTATGCTCAAACACATTCTTATGAAACACTGGCTCGTCATTCAACAGCAACCTAAGCTTAAGCAAATCTTTAACCAACCACCGATTATCTCCTACAGGAAGGAAAAATCTCTCAAGGACATTCTACATGTTCTAGCCCGCGCGAAAATTCCTTCAACCTCGCAACAATCACAAAATCAACGAGGCGGTTAAAAGCAAACTAGAAGGGACTTTGCATATGATCACTTCAACTGACTTCCTAAAACGGCAATCACGCATCCATGCGTTCATTGCAATACAACAGAGTCATTATATTCTCAGGCCTTTTAAATCCTACCACTGATCATTCTTATTACGAACGTAGAAGCTGTGGACTCGTAGACCTTATTAAAACTCAAATTTAACCTGGTGTAGATGAAAATTCAGAAGACCTCAATATTCTGATTTCAGAGTTTGACGAAGTCATGGCGAAAACACTCTATTGGCGCCATATGCTAAAATGAAATTGAAATAAATAAGTCTGAGCGCGATGTCATTAAGCAATGTTACTTTCCTTTCGCTGTAGCGATTATTTTGTCCAGGTTTTGTTTATGTCACGTACTACCGTATTTTATCATGCGAAACCAAAGACCCACATCACATACATAGCTTAAGAAGCAGTTGCTTCATAAAGAAGTCAGCGTTCAACGTCGCAGGAAACCTTGTTATGATCGTGAAATTTACGTTCCAAAGTGTATTTGGTAACTCTCGCCGAAATCCAAGAGACTTCAGCACGCGAGGTCGCGAGGAGTCACTCGAGCTGTATTCTATCCTTTGATCTGATTTGCCAACATCAAAACAAAAGGTTTTACGTCACGGAAATTGTTTTGCCGCTCGGGTTCGCAGACGCTATTTTTCGAAGGGAGAGAAGCGACGATCGTAAATGCTTCTGCTGTTCGCAGGCTACAACTTTCCCTGTCTAATAGCTTTTTGTTCTGTGTTGTTTGCTTATGTCGTTTTTTTTGCTTGGTTTGTGGTTTGGGATTTGTGTCCACGATCAGTGAATATATTACTTTACCTCAACGCCCCGCTATACACGTTCCTAGCTCTTTTGTCCTCTGACGAAATACCATGCTCAACTTGCTTCCGTAAACAGGAAGTTCTTGGCAAGACAGGACTTCCTCCAATGATTTTGAACAGTATAAAACAATTTTTATCGTCCTGCGTTTACAGTCGGAAAGATCAACAGCAGGTGCGACTCATACTCGGAATCGTTTATCCTCCGCGGAACGTAACTACAATGCTTAAATTACGGCCAATCTCTTCCCTCGTAGACAGTACGACTAAAATTATAGTGGCAGGGCTTAAACCATTACAAAAGATTACACTTGGAGCCAACATAGTCGGCGACGGCGGAGAAATCTTTCAATCTCACGCCCACTACATCGCTGATAAACACGGTAAAGTCGATGTTTATCGTGACTCGTCCCTGGGAGGATCTTACAGCGGTGTTGAACCCAAGGGATTGTTATGGAGCATGAAACAGGCTCCAGGACAGAAAAAGGAATCTTCGCCTTTACAAAAGAGATGTTACCAAACCGTATAACGGCGTCTTAAGCTGCTTTGATGGTCACGTAATGCCGCACCAAGAACAACCTGAGTTGCAGCCACTATCAAGCACCACATTTCAGAGGTGGTACATGGCAGATGGAGTGAAAAGAATTCCGGTAAGAGAAGGACGAATCCGAGGAACGCTCTTTCTTCCTCCTGGCGAAGGACCTTTTCCTGGTAGGTATTCATTTGTTATCCACAGTTTCATAATCGTTTTCTAGAAGCAAGCACCCATCAGACAGCTTTAAAGCTCTTTAAGGGGGGCCATACTTTGGGAGCCTTAAATCTTGTGTTGAATATTAATTTAATGGTAAAAAAATTAGCGATGAGTCAAGAAGTAGTTGCTAGTTAGAAATCCAAATGTCCAATTTACTCTGCTGTCGCGTTTCTCGATGGCACAACCGCTAATACTTGTTTTTTCTTATTTCTGTACAGTTTAAAAGAATTACTTATGGTTTAAAAATATAAAAAGATATAAGGCGTTAATTTTAGGGATGACAGATTTGGTTGATTTTTGCTCATATCTTGCTGGCAAACATTAAATTGTAAAATCTGCCCTATACATGACTCACTAGAGATGTTGACCGATCTGTTTCATTTATTAATAAAACCACTGGGTGGTGTCTTTTATTCTTTCCACACACCTGGACACAAAGTCACGATTTCCCAATTTGTTACAACTGTGGCTTAAAGCATTACCGTAAAGCTCGATCTACCAAATAAAAAACAACCTTTCTAAACTTCCATCATTTCACGATCTCTTTAAAATTTGATCTAAATCGCCTCTAAAACAGCCGAAATATAACCGTTTTAAAAGATGTAGCACAAGCAAAATTTTGCCTTGTGTCCCCCGCGGCTTAAGTGCGTGCATTTCGAGCATTTGCCTTCTGGTTCCTCTCGTGACCTTATTACAGTTTTTACCATTTCTTGCATACCTATAGTCATGGCTTTTTCTAACAATAATTTAAGCTAGTAACATTCTTTTCCGTTCCAAGAAAATATATCAATCGCAGTGTGGTATGTAGTGCGCATTGATTGAAAAAAACTTGAATTAGAATAACGTCAAAACAATACAGTCGACTCCTGATAACTCGAACCCTCGCTAACTCGTACCCCGCGCTTATTCAAACCAAAATCGATTTCCCCTAGATTTCCGTCATACATTCACTGTAATTTTACCCTCGGTAACTCGAACTCCCGCTAACTCGAACCAATTTTCGTTTCCCTTCAGTTCATTTTCTATATAATTTTACCCTCGATAACTCGAAAGTCGGGAAAAAAGCTGTCTACTGGCGTCCGAAACATTGAATTTGGGATTTCCTATTGACGTGTTATAGGAGTATAGTTTGCTAGTGGAGGCTAATGTTGATTGTCACAGGCTAACGTGAAGCAGCTTTTCTTCTCAAAACAGTAAAACGCATGCTCTATTTAGGCTATGTTTTGTTACGTTACGTTCTGATTTATAATCTAAAAGTATCTTTATGTTGATTGTCACAGGCTAACGTGAAGCAGCTTTTCTTCTCAAAACAGTAAAACGCATGCTCTATTTAGGCTATGTTTTGTTACGTTACGTTCTGATTTATAATCTAAAAGTATCTTTTAATTTTCACTTGACATTTCTACTATTAAATGTGATTAAAATGTTAATTCACTGTGCAGTAAAAACTGTTTTTTACCTTTCTCTCGGCTATTTTCCTCGAACTCCCGGTAACTCGAACTCCCGATAACTCGAACCTTTTTCCATTTCCCCTGAAGGTTCGAGTTATCGGGAGTCGACTGTATAATGATTATCGCAAGGCACATATTTTGGCCTGTTCGTAAGCTAGGTTTAGCTTGGAATTTGAAGGTACTGCAGTGAATCAATGTTAATGAACGTTTGACACATTATAATATACAAACATCACGAAGATTACATTATGATTTTTTTAAAGACTTGTATAGAGCCGTTGAGATATATGGAAAAGCGTTAAAAATCAACATTTTGCATAAAGTTGCTCTTGGAATGGCGTTTAGAGAAAAGGTATGTTTACAAGATGGCAGTAATAAGTCGCGATTAACTGTCTGGTTACACAAAGGCCCAAGCATTTTCAATTACAGACTTGAATATTTTTTTATCTGGGACTTAATGTTTCTGGACTGGGACTCAATATTTTTCACAAGATGAGTCCCAGGACTCACCATAACTATTTGAAACCAAAATCGCTGAATATATATTCAGGTCTCCAACTTTTCCACTGAAAAGCAATACTACCCAAGTATTTTGTTGCATCATTCTTGCACTTAACTCTTTGAAAATAGGCAAGTAATGTCCTTTTCTGACAATCCCAAAGAACTGTTGTTTATTTAAGCTACGCAGATATCCCTGCCAGTTTCTTTGTTTTGCCTGTGCTACACTGTATCTAGCATCAATTTTGTTTGCCTTGTTCATATTCCTTATGCACTCAAGAACAGTAATTTATCAAGTCACAAAAAAAAAACGTTTTCTTAGGACCTACATCTGTATGAGAGTGAATCCTCACTTTTTTCTCTAAATTCAAACAATTTTATACAGACACCCAGTGACTAATAGTTATTAGGACAATGCAAGTAAGAATAACTTAAGGAATACAAAAACCTTTTTTCAGTCAACAGATTCGGTCACAACTAATGTTAGTTAATCGTACTAATACGGTTTCTTTCTTATCAACTGTTTGTTGTAATAAGACCTACAGTGTTCCAAAATAACGCGCACTATACATACCTCCATGACTAGTACATTTTAGTTTGAATTTATCGGATCTTTTGAATGTAAAACATTGACAATACTCACACTGAAATGTTCTGGTCATGGATATATGTATTGTCCGCATTAATTTGGAAAAATTAGCATAACGTCAAAACAGTGAATGAGTGTAGCGCGGATTTTTGACTGGTTCGTAGGATAGGTTTGTCTTGAAATTTCAAGGTGTTGCATTGAATCAATCTTAATGAAAGTTTCAGACATTATTATATACATTATGAAGATTAAGTGAAAAGATTTTAAAAAAATCCGTTCGAGTCGTTTCAGAGATATACAAAAAAGCCCTAAAAGTCTAAATTTTGAATGAAGTCGCATCTATACAGGAGGTGAGAAAACGGGTTGGTTTTTAAGATCGCAAGAACGAAAATACACCAAAATTTCCTAGCATCGAAATATGATATTAAGCAGCATTCTGACGCTACTTAAGAATAATTTGAGTCATTTATAACGCTTTTTTAAAAATAATCTATTATGGCTGTTGAAAATTTAAGGTTTGAAATATCGAGTAATATCGATTTTACTAAAACCTACATTTTTCTAGTAGTGTTTTAATTTTTAACAAACAATCGTATGTGAATATGGTGAGTTTTAAAGAAAATTCCCAAGACATACATGTACGTGGTCTAGACAACTCCAGATATAAGTGATTTCATTTTTAAAGGCTTCTTCAGCGGGCTTTTAAGGGTGTTTTTGAAAACTTGCTTCTATTTTCAAGTTTTGCTACAAGGAAAATGCTTAAATTTTTATTTTTTGTTATTTTGAAAACGCCATTAAAAAACAGATTAAAACACCTTTAAAAACAGATTAAAACACCATTAAAAGCAGGTTAAAACACCATTAAAGCAGGTAAAAACACCTTTAAAAACAGATTAAAACACCATTAAAAGTAGGTTAAAACACCATTAAAGGCAGGTTAAAACACTTTTAAAAAACAGATTAAAACAACTTTAAAAATTGGTTAAAGCACCATTAGAAACAGGTTAAAACACCTTTAAAAACAGGTTAAAACACAATTAAAGGCAGGTTAAAACACCTTTAAAAAACAGGTTAAAACACGATTTAAGGCAGGTTAAAACACCTTTAAAAACAGATTAAAACACCTTTAAAAACAAGTTGAAACACCATTAAAAACAGGTTAAAACACCATTAAAGGCAGGTTAAAACACCTTTAAAAACAGATTAAAACACCGTTAAAAACAGGCCAAAACACCATTGAAAACAGCGTTAGACAACATTTAAAGGCAGGTTAAAACACCATAAAAAACAGGCTAAAACACCTTTAAAAACATGTTAAAACACCATTAAAGGCAGGTTAAAACACCTTTAAAAACAGATTAAAACACCTTTAAAAACAGGTTAAAACACCATTGAAAACAAGGTTAGACAACATTTAAAAACAAGTTAAAACACCTTTAAAAACTGGTTAAAACACCATTAATAATCATTTAACAAGATTTTGGTCAGTTTTAACGACAACGCAGATGAAATGAAAAAAGTGTTTTCGAATCCGCGGAATGTTTTTCTTGAAGAAGGGAGATGCGACGGTGTATTATGTCGATATTGTATATTTGGGAAGAAGCAACAATGTTATAGCAGTTGGTTAAAACGGATCAGTGACTTTGACGAAGCTCATAGAAGTAGATTTGATCATAAACATGACGAGCTGGTCGTATATATTTGTCGCACCTTTTTTCGTGTAAAATCACGGCGTGTAAGGCAACGTCAGTCACCGAGGGCATGCATAATAATAGAACTCTCGGCCACAGAGCTGCAACAAATCATTTCAAGCTAGGTTACAGCTTCTCTTAAGTAGGCCCCTGGACAGCGCATTAATGCACTCCATCAATAAAGATGTTTCGCCAATTGCTATAGATACCATGGCATTTGGCCTACCAATTCGGCATGGCCGAACATTGCCGTTTCTACGGAACGACACAGAATATGGAAAACTGTTTTTTTTGTGTCACGGGCTGTTTTCCTCGGCATTCCCAAAATGAACCAAATGATTCTCCATTGCAAATTTGTACTGCAGAGCAAATGCATTTTTCTAACGCAAAAAAAAATCAAACAACATGTTCTTTTCAAATTGGACCAAATAACCCGACAAGAGAAAATTTATCGTTGAACCGACTTTTTTCACAAATTGGTCAATAACAAGTGAACAATGCAGACGGGCACACGTGCAAGAAAACCGACGCATATCTCTATCTATGTATACATCTCTCTAGATGAAAACCTTTTTGAAAACGGGTGCATATATATTTTATTTATATATTCATTTATCTAAAAATACTTCAACTCGTCAAATCCCCTATATACCTGAAACCTGAAAAAGGTACCCGTTTCGGGCGATGCAACAATATACCAAAATGCTGGTTCTGTCTATTCTCCAGGTGTCATAGACATGCTTGGGGAAGCAGGAGGACTTTTGGAATTCAAGGCGTCTCTCTTAGCGTCTCATGGATTCGCTACTCTAGCACTGGCCTATCTCAATTTCGATGATCTACCAGATGGTCTTACAAATGAACGTGATATGGAGTACTTTGAGGAGGCAGCCAATTGGCTGAGCAGTCACCCTATGGTCTTACCTCATGGGATTGGTGTTCATGCTATATGCGTTGGATCACACATCGCGTTATTAATGGCAAGCCTCCAAATGAAAGCTGTTAAAGCCGTTGTGGCCATTGCACCTGTTGTGCATTCTTACCCTTCACCATTTAAATACAAAGGCAAGATCTCAGAGGTGTCTCCTTTTGAACACAGCAAGAAAATACAGACGGAAGCGGGAAGTATTTGGCGTTATGCCTTGCCAACAATCACCGATCTCGCCACTCCAGTTTCAAAGTACCCTTACCTAACACCAGTTGAGAATATTTCATGTCCTCTTCTGCTTGTCTGTGGTACTAACGACCTCCTCCTTAATGTCGACTTTTCGGTGAACCTGATACAAGATCGTTTAAAGAAACGTGGCAGAGAACATTTGTGCTCCGTTTTACGTTATCCTGGCGCAGGACATCTTATTGAGCCACCACATACACCACACTGCTATGCAAGTTACACAACAAACACGGGTCAATGGTCAGGTGATTTCTCCTTAGTGTGGGGAGGGGAGACGAAGTGTCATGCAAGAGCACAAGAAGATGCTTGGCCAAAAATTTTAGCATTCCTCAAAAGAAACATTATTGCTTAAAGTTTGTCACGTTTTCAAATTTGTTGACACTTTGCACTGGACCTCTTTGATTAGTTGCTGAATAATTTAGATCAACTCCGATCAAAGCTGTAGTGGGCCTTAGCTATCCACATTACTGCTGTGGCCTAACATGATAATAATACATAGCTGCTAAGTAGGTGATGACTAAGAAACTAGGATACGTCTCAAGACTTGGAAATTCTTGTAAACGCACGTCCTCCTGTTATTTTCTTAGTGTTTACACAATCATCATTATCGTCTTGTCTCTCAGAACAAAGGTTTTTGGGTTTTTGAGAACACAAAATTGTCGACGGGTTGTTCGCTCAAGGTATTGTAAATGAGGTAGTAAATTGGTCAATCAGAAACAGAGTCAAGTTAAACACAGAAAAATGTAAGGAGCTCCGCATTAGTTTTACATCACATTGTGACTTTCCTCCAGTAGTCATAGGAGAGGAGTGCATCAAATTAGTTAAAGATGCTAAACTTTTAGGTGTTTCTATTTCTGGTGACTTAACATGGAATGCGCAAATCACGGAAGTTACTGAGAAGGCAGCTAAGAGGCTCTATTTTCTTGTTCAGCTAAAAAGAGCTCGTGTTCCACAGAACGATTTATGCCTCTTTTACATTACATGCGTGCACTCGGTCATTTACTATGCTGCGCCAGTTTTCCATCACGCGCTACCAGCCTACCTTTCGCAAGAATTAAAACGCGTTCAGAAAAGAGCAATGTGAATCATATAAATATCATGTAAATAATGATTAGGTTTCTTATTATACGTTTTTAGTCTTAGCTATTACAATTATTACTCATTTTTACAATTATTAGTATAAATTATTACCATTAAGTAAATACGCAATTCAGCTTATGCTGCAATGTATTTAATGAAGTACCTACCTACCTACCTACCTACCTACCTTCGTACCTTCCTTGGGTGGAGCTATATTCGCACTGAGGACGAATTCGAACAAAGAATGACAAAAATGTCAGAGCGACGTGCGGCAGAAATGCCGGTTCAACCTCAAGTCAAAGAATTCAAAGATTTAAAATTTGTGTCTGCAGAATGCAAGGAGGTGCATGGTTAGTTTTCGTGCGAAACTTTGGCCCCTGCAGGTAATGGCGAAAATTCTTCTCAAATTCCACTAAGGCAGGAGCCTTTGACTAAGGCAAGCAGTTCTTTTCGCCTTACACAGTAATTGCTCCCAGCTTTAGTTAAAGCCTGCCTGGCATCTGCAGCAGGACGCTCCACTTGACGTAAGGGCAACTCTAATATCATGATGGCTGGTATCTGTGTCAAGTACAAACTCTCCTTTAAAATCCGGGTAGGACAAGACCGAGGCCGACGACAGCCGGTAAGGTCTGCAACGTGTCGAATGACGACTGCCACTAAGATGTCCAAACAAAATCAACTTGAGGTTCAGCAAGTTTGTGAAGTGATCTGACAAAATTGGGCACAACGCATTTGATACAATCTGACAAGTCCTAAGAAGCCCTTTACTTCAATTTAATTCACTAGCACTGGCTACTCACACACGTTCAGACACAATGTGGTCCAGATAGATGACAGTCCTGTTTAAGCTTAACTCCAGCAGATCTAAACCTTGCGTACACCTTTAAGTGTTCAAGATTCTTTCCAAAAGTTTTCCATACACAATGACGTAATCTAAATAAAGGATTTCTGTGTTTATAGTATGGAAATACATATTAATCACTATTCCAAATATTTCACTGCGTGCGGTAGTTAAAAAAAGTAAGCATTTTTTAACTCCAATTTTGATTCCCTTGGTCTCCAGTAAAAGGAACGTAAAAGAACCAGTGTCAAAAACTAGATCGCATGCTGTTTTGTAGCCTCATTCTTCAGGAAGTGACTATTCAGGGTGTGCCAAAACCTATGTCCGATTGTCCGGGACAGGTAGAAATTTGGTTCGGACATGTAAACCTTTGACATGACTTTTCCGTACCGGGGCAAGCACATTGTTAATAAGAAAAGTAGAGAAACAGTTGAAAACTGACTTCAAATTACAGTAGAATTAAAATTTTTCTTATGTTCATAAATGAAACCTCATACTTGACAAAATAAGGTTAAATATTCCTTTTAACTTTTCCATCCCGCGGCCATTTCATTTGATTTTAAGAGCTCCATTTGGCTTAGGAACCTGGCAAAACTTTTTGGATAAGAACTCTTGGGGTTTGGACAACGAAATTTAATATTTATTAATAGTTCTTGTCCGAGGAACAAGTGAACAAGTAAACTTTTCTCTTACGCTGTGTCCTACATTAAAACAGTACATTATGTCCCAGTCACTCTCTCGTCGTTTCCAAAATACAGAAACATAACACAGTAAAGTACACCGGCGTCACTATTCTGGCCAGTAACTATCAATTTAACAAAAATTTTCGCCCAAAAAAGACAGAATCATTTTCTTCATGTCATCTTCTTAGGTGTGAACATGCTTTTTTTATTTTCCACCAATAGACATTCTCCAATTTCTTTTTTCTTTTCTTTTTCCCCGAAAAACATCACATGCCGATTTCTCCCCACATCCATGACTTTATATTGTTTTTGTCTAAAAGAAGAAATTCTTACTACATCGTGCTGCAAAATAAGGTTACTCTGTGTTTAATATGGATAAAAGGCCGAAAGGTGAAGAGTAAATGATCACGAAAAGGCATTGCAAGAATACATGTATGTAAATATGAGAAGGCAATCAAACAGAGAAAAAAAAAAGAGTGAAGTGGCAAAGCCAGGAAACCAGGGCCTGGTTGCTCGAAAGACGGTTAAGTTAAACCAGGATTAAGACAAATTTCAAGAACGGTTTTCTCGGCTAAGAACTTTTAACTCGATGTTACAAAATACTTTTGAGCCTTTACTACGAGACACAGTAATGATAACACAAAATGTTACCCTAAGCAATGCATAGGAATATAAAAGACAAAAACGGAACAAAAGTTTAATCCTGGATTAACGCTAATCGGCCGTTCAGGAGCCGGGCCCAGTTTCACGTTAACACAACTTTTTCCATTCTAAATTTAAATTACATATTATCAAGTCTCTAATTTCTTTGATGGAGTTGGCTTTCTTTTTGGCTAGCTCTTCCTGCCAGATTTCTTACCTTTCGCCAAAGACATCGGTGGCACTTGTGTTCAAGATTCAGAAAAGAATTCTTGGTTATTGGAGTACTAGCCGATTCTTACAAACGCCCCCCAAAAAAACAAAAGTAAAGTGAAATCACCACAATAAAAAAAACATACGATTCTTACTGAAGGCTTGAAGTTTGCAAGGTAGACAGAGCAGCATCACACTTCAGGGCCTGATTCCTCGAAAGATGATTAAGTTCAACCCAGGATTAAGCCAAATTTAAAGAATGGTTTTCTCGTCTAAGAACATGCAACTCGAGGTTACAATATACTGTTTAGTCTTTACTACGAGATACAGTAATAATAACACAAAATGTTACCCTAAGCAATGTATAGGAATGTAAAATACAAAAACAGAACAAACATTTAATCCCGGATTAACGCTAATCGACATTTCAGGAACCGGGCCCAGGAGAACGGACCAGACCGAAAAATCCTTTGGAAGTTAAAGTTAGCTATTTTCAGGACGGTTCTCTTTTACGCCATTAAGGGGCTAAAGTGAAATCTAAGACAAAATAAAATACTTGTCTTTAACGGTCGATTTTGGTACCAAAGCTTGTTTTTTCGCGCTTTCATGGCAGTTAGGTTTTCATTCAGCCCGCGCTATTCCAGGTTGCATATCGAGCGCCTTACTAGTTTCCCTGTTATAGTATGCTTTATGCTAGGGACTGGGACAGGTTTTTTTGTCTTTGGGGTCCGCCATCTTGTTACTCGTGTGTATTAAAAGTTGTGTTAATCTATCCATTCATATCGTCCCATATAACATAGTTTGTTCATGATATCTTAACATGGCGGTAGCGGCGGGATAATTCAACACGCCCCTTGACGTTTTGACTTCTAAAACATTGAGGTGAACCCGATGAACAAGTATTAAAAGGTCAACAATTCGTAGCGTGCAGCCGAGTATCTTCGTAATTCTACCGGCCAACACAGTTTTCTCACAAACATGGGCGAACTTTGGGGAATTACGCCTCCTCAGATGGAATGGAGTGACTCTGACTTACCCATGGCATTTAAAAGTGTCAAACAATATTCAGCTAATCTTGATGAGCCTTTGAAGGCGAAAGAGGACAAAGTCAAGGCAACTTATATGCTACTCTGGATTTGCGAAGAAGGCCGAAGAATCTTTAACTCCTTTGACTTGACCGCTGATGAGAAAGCGAAACCTGACGTGATTTTTGACAAGTCTGTAACAGATCTTGAATCTAAGTCAAATTTCGGATTGAAAGGTACCAACTGCAAGATTTCAGACAGGCTGATGATGAAAGTGTAGATTCGTCCTTGGCCAGTTGCAAAATAATAGCCCATAAATGTTGATTCAGTGAAGCCGAACTGGAGGAACGTTTAATTGAGCAACTATTGATACTCGCTAACGAAAGATACAAGAAGTCCTCTTAGGACAGGATGATAAGTTAAAGCTTAATAAAGTAATGGACATTGCCAGGACAAGGGAAGCAACGGTCAATGACATGAAATCCCTTGAGCAACAAGGTGCATCAGCATCCGTCCGTTCTCATGACATTAACATAGATGCTATCAGACAGAATTCCAACCCCAGATGTGGAAAATGTGGTCTCAGCTACGAAAAAAGTGCCCAACTCAAGGTGCAGAAAGTGGAACCAGTGGAACCAGTGGAAGCACTGGTAACAAGTGTGCAGAAATAAACAAGTACAGGATCGGAAAGCCAAGCCTTCACTTTGGAAGCAGCCTGGACGCCGGATGCCACAGGCCAAGACAAGCCCGAACAAGGTACACACAGTTGAAGAGACAAATTCACTCTTATGAGTTGTTTTTTGAGACAATTCAGATTGACAGTTCCAATGTTACTCCAGTAAAAGATGATGCTTTTGCAAAGCTCCAAGTAAAATTGCCTAATGTTAATAATCCTAACCCTGTGCTCAAAGTGAAAGTAGATACTGGCGCCCAAGAAAATATTCTGCCTTTGCGAATTTGTCGGAACATGTTTCTACACCATGTAGATGAAAATGGCCTTCCCACGTCGGACCAAACTGACTGCATACAGTGGCACCCAAATACCCCAGCATGGAGTATGTTCTATCAAGTGCTCTTATGGTGACAAAGCAACTGTTGCAGAGTTTTATGCTGCTGCTGTCGCTGGCTCCGCCATTTGTGGCCTACTCACTTGTTGCCAACTTCAGTTGGTGGAGTTACACTGTGCAGTAGGCAAATGTTCTAGCAAAGTGCCTCTCCCAGCAGTTAAGGAGAAAGGTGACCTCCAAGCTTTGTACCCTGACCGTTTTGATGGCATTGGCAAATTTGAAGGGGAATACCACATTATCACTGACCCTAATGTACTACCGTAGTTCATGCACCACGGAAGTACCCAATACACATTAAGGATGATGTTAAAAAGGAGCTTGATGAAATGGTCGATCTTGGAGTTATTGGACCTGTGACTGAGCCCATTGACTGGGTTTCAAATGTGGCGTACTCCCAAAAATCAAAGGACGATGGCGTGTATTCCTTGACCCTAAAGATCTTAACCGAGCTGTCAAGAGAAGCCATCATCATACACCTACCCTAGAGGAAATCACCCACAAGTTCAAAGGAAGGACAGTATTTTCAAAACTGGATGCCTGTCATGGTTATTGGTCCGTAGTGCTTGATGGAGAATCTTCTTACCTTACCAGCACCTTTAACAGTTCGTCTGGCAGATTTAGATTTACTCGTCTCCCCTTTGGACTCTGTGTTAGACAGGATATTTTCCACCAGAAGATGGATTTTATCCTTGAGAAATGCCCGGGAACAGTTGGTATTGCTGCCGACATTGTAGCTCATGGTCCTACTGGGGAAGAACATAAATGCCAATTTGCACAACCTGATGCTAGTCGCGCGGGAGCACGGACTTGTCTTCAACCTTGACAAATGTGTTATTAAAGAAAGAATGATAACATTCTTTGGGATGTTATTGGATGCTGAATGAGTACACCCTTACCCAGAAAAGGCGGAAGCTATTCGAGCCATCCAGGTGCCCCAGGATGCCCAAGAACTCCAGTCCTTCCTTGGTATAGCTACATGCATGGCTCCTTTCATTCCAAATCTGTCTGCTTTGTCTGGGCCTCTCAGGAACTTGCTTAAGAAGGACACTAACTTCTACTGGTCTCCTTCCCACAGTACAGCTTTTGAGAAAATCTAGTAGTCTATCTGCAATCAAGTCTCACTTACGTATTTTGATCTAAGAAGGAAAATCCTCCAGGTTGATATCTCCCTTAGCGGACTTGGAAGTGCATTAGTGCAAGAAGGCAAAGTTGTTGCTTTCGCATCTAGATTACTCAAGGACACTGAGAAACGATCTGCAAATATTGAGCGTGAGATGCTTGCTGTTGTTGTTGCACGTGAGGAACTTCACTCCTACTTGTTTGGCAAGAGGTTCATGGTAGAGTCAGATCACAAAACGTTTAAGATGATTCACTAGACGAATCTTAAAGCTGCTTCTCCGGGACTCCAGAAAAGGTTACTCAGAATCCAAGGATATGACTTCACTATCAAGTACAAACCTGGCAAAGAAATGCTTCTTGCTGACCCAATGTCAAGACTAAACCCTCTACCAAATGAAGAGTTATTGGACCTTCAGAAAGTATGCCTAGTGCGATTCTCTGATGAAAAGTTGAATGCTTTGAGGCGAGACACCTCCTCGGATCCTGAACTTTCAGCTCTACGAGAAATCATTTACTCTGGCTGGCCTGAAAAACAGAAACCCGTTCCAGTGCCATTGAGGAAGTACTGGGCCTACCGTGACGAGTTATCTATTGAAAACGGTATGGTACTCGAGGGAGAAAGAGTGATTATTACAGAATCACAAAGAGATGATATCTTAGAGAAGATACATCAGGCTCACCAAGGTGTTGCGAAATGTCAGTTACAAGCAAAATCCTGTGTATTTTGGCCTAATATTAACAAGGGTATTAAAGCTAAAGAGCTGAAGTGTGAGATTTGTCAAGAAAGGCAAAACACACAAACCAAAGAAACAATGGAACCACATGAAGTACCCACTAGGCCATGGCAAGTTGTAGGTACTGATCTATTCACATGGAATGGGGAGGAATATCTGATTTTGTGTGATTATTACTCTAAGTTTCCCATCATCAAGAAAATACATAGTGGACAGTCCACTGGATAAACAGTTGTAAGGCTTACAAAGTGCGTGATGTCAGAAAAACACTTTAGACAAGGCTGTGAAATGTGGAGAGGACCCTCACATGTCAATGCTCTGTCTTAGATCTACTCCGATTGATTCACAGTTTCCGTCCCCTGCTGAATTAGTGTATCAGTGTAAACTTCAAGCAAATCTTCCTGTTAGGGTGGACAATCGAATACCTGATAAAGACAAAATTGCCCAGCGCTTGACAGAACGTCAGCAGTCCATGAAACACTACTATGAATGGAATGCGCATGATCTAAGTCCCCTGACACCAAGGCAACCTGTACGCATACAGGACCAAGCTACAAAGAAGTGGTTACCAGGAATTGTGAGTTGTGCAAGACCTGAGCCCCGGTCATATGAAGTGAACACTCAATCTGGTTCAATCTTTTGCCGTAAGAGGCGCCACCTTCACCCGGCAAACACAGGTCAAGTTGTGATTAGCTCCAAAGATGAGCCTGCAATCGCCGAGTCTGATGTCCCTGTTGTTGAACTCTCTTACGATGTTCCGGTGTCTACTAAGGCACTGCACACCGTTGTGTCCAGTCTTGCAAGAGATGTTGGTCTCACTTCTAGATCCCCCTGCGCCAGTTAGAACCCTGGGACCTATCGGACTTATAGTGGGCTTGCAGTGATTAGACCTGCTCGTTTTACTGAATAGAACGTTTTGTTTTAGGAGTTTGAGTACTTATGCCTGTTCGTTTGTGCAAGTTCACTCTTACCACTCGTACTCATTTGCTATCAATCTAGGATCTAGTGCAATGACTTTTGTTGCCAAGATTTATTGAGACTTTACCAAGGACTCTCCACTTTGCGGAATAATAGATTTTTCTTTTTGACTTTTAACAACTGATTTTCTTTAAGGACTTCTGTTAAATTTTTTTGTACAGTAGGAGGGATGTTATAGTATGCTTTATCCTAGGGACTGGGCCAAAGTTTCTTGTCTTTGGGGCCCGCCATCTTGTTACTCGTGTGTAGTAAAAGTTGTGTTCATCTATCCGTTTATCTCGTCTCACATATCGTAGTTTGTTCATGATTTGATATCTTATCATGATATCTCCTTCGTGATATCTTAACATCTACCAGTAATCTTAACAGTCAGGCCGCCATTATGACTGCTGATCTGAGCCAGCGTGCTTTCCTGTTAAAGGTTGATTGTCTGGGAAATGAAGAACATACGTACATACGTACATGTTTTTTATTTGGAGTAGTATATCAACTTTTTCCAAATAACTAAAATAAGTTATTTATTATAAAGGCTTTTCGTCTTATTAGGCCAACGAAGCTTGATAAGAAGTAGAAAAACTAATAGCAAAACATGTATTCGATATTTGTTCGTTTTCTTTATTTAGTTGTAGCATTGTTTTACCTCCCTTGTTTTTGTCAATGTTATCTCATTAACTACTCAAATTACTGCTTTTATATATTTCAAAATTTTAAGCTTACGGTTACTTCTGAACATTTTTGTTGAGACCTACGAAACGTCAAGTCAGTGAATGAAATTCTATTCAGTTAGCTATGCACTTGTTACCTTCATGTTTGTCACGGCACTTTGGGTTATATTTCTAATCAAGTTATTAATTAGTTAAGTCCTAGAGTCTTTAAAAACACTAGAATACACGTTTTACTATTAGTTTTTGTATTTTAGCATTTCCGCTAGGGGGAGGTATTAGAAACATGAATATTTTGTTAGGTGTCGTTCTGCTTATTCTTATTCTATATTCTTTTTCCAAATAATCTGGTAACGAGCATCTTTCTTCCTGGTAAGCAGGGCATATATTTAGATATTCGTCCTCCATTTCTATTCCTTACAAAGGAGGGTCCGTATTTTTGCGTATTCAAGTATGTAGCGTTGCAGTTGTATTTTCCGTTGCAGTTTTTAAAAGAGGTTTATTTGTTTAAAAAATCAAAATTCACCAACATCATCGCAGAAATGCAATGCTCAAACCATCATTTATATGCAACTTGGATGCTGTAGTCTCACGATCGCGTCTTGAATTGATGTTATGAGTGAGCAAACACAAATGAATAGACAGAGAAATTATTTCTCCAAAAAGTTTATTTAAAAAACCATTAGTTGTGGAGCTGATCACACACTGCCAAGTAAAATCATTTTATAGCTATATTGTAAGTTACGACCAATATTTTCAAGTAAAGGTTAAAAGTTTCAGCTTAAAGGTTAAAGTTCTGCCAGTTGTACTCCATCCAGTTACATTCATCCAGATGCATGCATACTATACGCATTTGGTCAAATTTTTATGTTAATTGCGTAATATAAATGATAAATACTATTATCTCCAGGGAAGGAGGAGGGGGAGGGAGCACTCAGCAAAGTCTTATACGGGGGAGCTCCGCCTCGAATTCCAACCCCTTCTTTGTGACCCTTTGATTAGCATTTGTTACAGAAAAAGGTACCTCTTTCGTATACCGTCTATTGACAGATGGTACTCCTTTCGCATTACTAGTTTAGAACACTGCAAGCCTTATACCTGTAGTCTAAATGCACTGTCTTTTACGCCATAAAATGAACTTCTTGGACCTTTGTTAGGCCTTTTCCAAGACCGCAAAGACAAAGGTACGTAACCCCTTTCCGGCAGAGTTTCCCCGTATAGACCATTATAGGGACTACGTACTCCCTCGGCTAATCTTACGGATTAGCCAAAGTAACGTCCAAAAACATCGTTGGTGTCTAACTCTCTTTCATTCTGTTTGCAAACCGTCAAACAAAGCCTCTGTCCTCTTAACTGATGCCTTTATACTTTATACTTTCATGAAACGTGTTTAATCTGATCACGAATGAAACTTGTTTCTGTTCTTTTCACATCAACGTTGCCTGCACAGATCATGAACGAACTAGAACATACATACATACATACTTTATTAGTATTCCCCAGGGGGCTTTTCAATACTAAACAGCAAGGAACATTATAATAAAAAATGAATAAAATTATAAAAAGAGGTCATTAATGAAAATAATTCTCTAGCATGTGCGTTTTCAACTTTTTTTTAAAATGATGGTCAAGATAACTGTTTGAAGTCTTTGTCTAGATCTAAAATTTAGATGTAGTTCGTTTTCATGATCTGTGCATGCACCGTCGAAAGGACTCAAAATTGACGGTAACTCGTTAACCAAAGGCAGCAACCGATTAGTAGTTTCCGCAACGTTTGGTTACTAAAAATGTGCCCAAGCAAGTAACCCGGCATGGTTAGAAACAGAACTATCATAGAAGATCTTCTCACAAACAAATATTAATTTTCACGAAAGGCTGGTGTGTTTCTTTTTTGCATAAAATTGTTTTCTATTGGGAACAATTTGTTGTTCTAAAAGAGATGCTTACAGCAAAATGCCCTGCTTCCTTAAACGATCTCTTATCAGATTTACTGAAAAAGTGGCATTAACATTCAGGTCGTCAGTTCCATAAACAAGCAGGAGCGGACAGGAAAGATTTTCAAATGGTGCAATGTAGGGGTACTTTGACTCTGGAATATTTGAATTAGTGGCTGTTGGAAAACCATAGCGCCAGATGCTTCCATCTTTCAACTGTACCTTTTTATTTTGATCAAAGTGGGTTACCTCTGAAATGAAGCTTCCTTTGTGCTTAAAGGCTGTAGGGTACACATGTATGAGAGGAGAAATGGCAGCAATGGCTTTGACAGGTTTCATTTGAAGGTTTGCCATCAATAGAGCAATCATTGCTCCATAGTAGATAGCGTGAATACCAATCCCATGCGGGATGACTGCTCAGCCAATTAGCTGCATCTTCAAAGTACTCCATCTCGTGGTACGGTGGAAAGGCTGGTAGGTCATCATAATCCATATAAGCCAATGCGAGAGCAGCAAATCCATGAGACGCCAGTAGAGCGGCTTTGAATTCCACTAATCCGCCCATGTCTCCAAGCAAGTCTATCACACCTGGAAAATAAACGAAACATGATGTTTTTTACGCCTTCGCTGTTGGATTATCGAAAAGTTAAAGTGTCTCGATTAGGGCTTTCCACAAGTTGCTCAGTACCTTTTTGGCAACTTCTCGTATTTCGAGCAACGTTTTGCATTCTGAACAATTTTTCTAGTTATCTTCTAATTCTGAGATATCGGAGCAGCTTTCAGTGCTTCAGTTGACCTTTCTTCCATATTTCCAATGTTTTAGTAGACAGTTTATGAATTTCCTGTAAAAAAGGAGCCAAATCCTCCCCCCTGGGGCAGATCATGGGGGCAAGAAAAAAGTAGCCGGGCTGCTCGGTCAGCTGGTTTTAAAGAAAATTCAAAATGGTGGACGAAGATTCACACTCGACTGACCTGAGTGTCTCGGGTGAAGAAGGTCATTCAACAACTCTAGCTTATGAACAGGCCAAAATATCTGCCTTGCGATAATCATTATATTGTTTTAACGTTATGCTAATTCAAGTTTTTTTCCAATCAATGTGCACTACATACCACCATGATTGATACTTTCTCTGGAACGGAAAAGGACGTTACTAGCTTAAATTATTGTTAGAAACAGCCGTGACATTGACTATAGGTATGCAAGAAATGGTAAAAACTGTAATAAGGTCACGGGAGGAACCAGAAGGCAAATGCTCGAATACGGGCGAATGCGCGTACTTAAGGACGCGGGAGACACAAGGCAAAATTTTTCTTGTGCTACATCTTTTAAAACGGTTATATTTCGGCTGTTTTAGAGGCGATTTAGATAAAATTTTAAAGAGATCGTAAAGTGATGGAAGTTTAGAAGGGTTGTTTTTATTTGGTATCTCGAGGTTTACGGTAATCCTTTAAGCCACACTTGCAACAAATTGGGAAATCGTGACTTTGTGTCCAAGTGTGCGGAAAGAATAGAAGATACCACCCAGTGATTTTATCAATAAATGATCACCAAAACCTCTAGTGCGTCATGTATAGAGCAGATTTTACAGTTTAATGTTTGCCAGCAAGATATGAGTAAAAATCAGCCAAATCTGTCATCCCTGAAATTAACGCCTTATGTCTTTTTATATTTTAAAACCATAAGTAATTCTTTTAAACTGTACAGAAGTATGAAAAAACAAGTATTAGCGTTTGTGTCATCGAGAAACGCGACAGCAAAGGGAATTGGACATTTGGATTTCTAACTAGCAACTACTTCTTGAATCATCCCGAATTTTTTTTTCATTATTACTTAATTTAACTAAAGTAAGAACAAATTATTATTTTAAATTAATATTAAACATAAGATTTAAGGCCCCCCAAGGTATGCCCCCCCGCCTGTTAAAGCTGTCTAATGGCTGCCTGCTTCTAGAAAGCCAGCCGGGCACACAAGTACTGCGATTACGAAACTGTAGATAATAAACGAATACCTACCAGGAAAAGGTCCTTCGCCAGGAGGAAGAAAGAGCGTTCCTCGGATTCGTCCTTCTCTTACAGGTATTCTTTTCACTCCATCTGCCATGTACCACCTCTGAAATGTGGTACTTGATAGTGGCTGCAACTCAGGTTGTTCTTGGTGCGGCATTACGTGACCATCAAAGCAGCTTAAGACGCCGTTATACGGTTTGGTAACATCTCTTTTGTAAAGGCGAAGACCCTTTTTCTGTTCTGGAGCCTGTTTCATGCTCCAT